GTGACTAAAGCAGAGCTCAGTCTGGAAACTAAGCTCTGGACATTCAAGTCGATCTTTATCCCCATGCTTACCTATGGTGATGAATCGTTGACCATCACTGAAAAACTTCGAACCCGGGTAAAGCTGCTGAAATGGTCTTTCTTTGACGAGGCCGTGCTGGCCGTGGCGTCGCTGGCGTGGCGTCTTCGCTGGCCGTGCGCGTCTCGACATGGTCCGGAATAGTGACATCCGGAAGAGCCTTGGAATACGGCCTTTGCTTCTCCTGATTGAGATGTCACAGCTGCTGTGGCTTATGCATGTGTTGCGAATGCTTCCAGAAAGGAAGGCTCAGCAACTGTTCCTTGCAAATCCGAGCGGGAGAAGGTCCATAGGACGGCCAAGATTAACCTGGTGCAAATATATGGAAGGAGTCTGTTCCAGATTCTATTTGTCTTTTGCCGAAGCTCAGACTCTGGCACAGGATGAGGAACGTTGAAGCTCTGTCTGACGTGTCTGTCTTCGCGACCCGAAAGAAAAAGCGGCGACGGAAGAGGAAGATGAAAAAAAATCAGGGTGGAGATCATTGGAATATGTCAAACGCGAAAATCTACGGAACTTTTTACGCATCAGAACAACGGTGGCGAGGTATTTCTCGAAAGACTTTCAAAAACCGAGCTCAGGTCAGAGGCATTCGATTTGCAATAAGGAAGAAGGTTGTACTATTTGCAAGAGGTGTAATGATGCCATATCATCTCATATGGCATTTCTAATTTTGCAAAAGAAGAACAGTAAATGTAATGGAATGCAGCTGAACAAGCTGAGATGAAGAGAGCGAGCAATTTTACGATAAATTGGAAGACAAAATGAAGAAGACTACCTTTACGATTGCTCAAGGAGACTTAGACGCAATTGCGAGGAAAGGAACGAACGACCGGTGGTATTTATCAGAAAAGGAGAAAGATTAATGCAGAGCTCGTTTTGCAACCGTTTTCGAGAAAACTGCCAAGCGAGAAAAGCCCAGACCGAATATTTTCCAAATCAACTATGCACTGAAGAATAAAAAACGAATTATACCAGGCATGTTGGTTATAGGCGAGAGCATCGTCTGCAAATTGTCAGGCAACCGCCTTTTACGTTCCATAGTCACAAATAACGTCGCACAAAAACGTATTTTAAGAGCTTAAAGATAACCACATTCTGGAGAACTACGATTCAATCCAGAGGCTTTCGCCGAGAAGCTGCCATAAGTAAACCTTGAAAGGAACATTAGAGATGGCATAGATGCAGATGATGATAACGGTGAGAATGTTCTCAATACTGCCGCTAGAACATCGAACCGGACAGCAAAGTTAACGACAAACCAGCGCATCAGTGCTTCAGCATGGCAGCTGGTTTACCAGAAAAGCCCAATGGAAGACCGAAGATTATGTAGGTAACGTGCACATTCCATTATACAAAGAGATGCGAAAGACGTTGAAGGAAGATTACTACGGTTACGGGAGAATAATAATGAAACTACAGAGGAAGAAAATGATGAATGGTGTGGAACAAAATATTCACATAAGACAACGGATTTCAAGTAAGGTGAAAGACGAAGGAGAAGCAAAAACAAGTCATTGCAAACAGAGTGATCTGTACAAAGTGCTATAACAACTTGCACTCTTCCACAGTAGGCGTGAATTGGAAGTTGCCATACGTTGCCGCAGAAACGGTTTTACGAAGTCACCTGAGACTACGGGTGGGCCATGGTATGCCATGAGTAGGCCATCAGTAGCAACAGAAGTCGCAAATGTCCGAGTAAAGGCGATGTAAGACCTGAACACCTTTAAGCAAGAAGAACAATCCCGTTTAAATTTCTTCATAAAGGTCTTACAGAATTCATCCGGCAAAACAGGACGCTTAAAGTGCAGTGCGGAGGACATCAAAAACAATTTTTCTTACGAAGAAGGCGTTTCCAAAGACCTCAAACACCATCGAACAATTATACTCATTTCGAAAATTTACAGCATTCGCCCGTATCATTTTCAATCGTATTCGGAAGACCTCGATCTAGTTACAAATAGGGAACAAGCTGGTTTTCATACAGGGTTTTCATTAATCGACCATGTGTATAAGAACCAGCAACTGGCGGAGAAGTGCAACAAATATCAGAAGGTGTACAGCTCCTAACCGACCAACATCTACAGACCTAACAGACAACAAAAAAAAACCTACGGAACTTTACTAACCTCATAACTTTAAAAATGCGGTTGAAAACGAGCATGCCTGCGTTTGTAAATTATCTGATTGACAATATTATTCTTTTCGTTGTACAATGACAAACCATGTTTTATGATATCCTTAAGTGATACACTACTACGTTCATAAGTATAGAGTTACTGCCAAAGTAACATTTACCTGAAAATCATTTTATTCCTACCAGCGGACAAGTACAGACACGTTCGTTTCGGTGAAAGGTTCCCTTAATGCTTAATTTAGCGTATTCTTATTGCTGTGTGTTGGCTACCGAAATACTTTATTTTGTGTTTGCAGGACGTAAGTGCTTAAACTCTTGTCTATTTCACCAAGTAAATGTTCGACTCACAATGGCTTCTGAAGTCAGCAAGCATGTAGCGCTTGTAGCTATTTCGTAGTTTCCTCGTTTCTACCGTTGACATATATACGCATGTTCGTTGGTCACGTGCTAGAGGCTGATGGTTGAAAAGCGTTTTTGTCCAGAAGGCGGTCGTACCTGTACTGCGGCAATGAAAAGGCCCAATCGGAAAGAGTTAGAGAAAAAGCTGAGCATTTTGACCAAAGACATCAGTGATCGAGTGTCCGAATTCGTAAGTACGTTTCGTTTGTGAGGTTTGATATCTGACCTGACTTGTAGCATGCACTGGTTGGTTTTAATGGTGGTAACGGTTCCGGAGATCAAATATTTCCGAGTCCCGGTGGCGAACTTCTGCGCTGTCAAAATGCGGCCAAAATCTGGAGACAGAAACGTGAAAATATCAGGTCGCAGGTGGCGGTGGTTCGACGGCAGATCGAAGACAAGCGTACGAACATCAAGGATTTGAAGGAAGAACTGTCTCTTATCGAGTCAAAGGATCTGTACTTCAAGGACGAGGCAAAGCTGAAGCAGATTTTGCAGAAATTTGAACAGCAATATTTGGTGTGTAGTAATCGGCGAGATGAGGAGGCGTTTGTACGACAAATAGATAGACTTCGTCGTAACCAAAACCGGCTCGGAAAATACAAAGAACTGCTATGCGAGAAGGAAGAGATGGTGCGACAGCTGAAGGTCTGCAAGTCAGAAAGAGACGTACGTTGGCGAAGGCGGCCCCGTTCGTCAGTCGGGGTGCATCTGCGAATTTTACGAGTGCAACCCTCGTTTTTTTCAGGAACTGTACGAGAAGGGGATGAATGCGAAGCGATTCGAGGCGGAGTGCAAACGCGAAGAACGGGATATTTTGATACGTGCTGGCGAGATCATGACTGGTAAGTGCTGTACACAAACTGTTTTGTTGTGCCATGTAATAAGTTCCGTTGTTTGTTTTTCTTTTTTAGAAATCGAGCGCCTGCAACAAGAAAAGAAGAGTATCATGGCCGAATACGACAAGCAGCGAACGGCGTATCTGGAGTGTATGCGACTTGAGAACGGTGTCGAAACTACACCGACTGCCCGCACGTCGCCCCGCGAGTTGACGAGGTCCTACAGCCTTAGGGTTCCGGTAGTATCCGTATCGGACCTGGCTTCCGCCGAATCTTGTGGTGATGACAGTGACAGCAGTTCCGAGAAGTATTTTGCGTTCTTCATCGTGCTGTTCGCGGCAGTCGTACTTGATGATAATGACTTCATGTCAGATTGGTCCCGTCCTCCTTTAACCGCTAGGTCGTTCTGCAGTTTTTTGTAGTATTTCTCTCAGATTGCTCCTCTTACAAATATCGGCTTCAACTTTTGCTACGTAAGCAAAATCGCTAAAAGATTCTTACTTTACAGCATAAGTGAATATTAAGTAAAGAATGGACAACGGTAACGCTAGCATAAACGACCTGCCGCAGTAAACGTATAGGACTTTTACATGGCATGCAAGTGAACCACACTGTGCTCCAACGCTTGATAAGAAATCACTAGCTCGAATTAGTAACTAAAATACCTGGTAGGACATTCAAAATCTGCAGCTCGACTAATGGTTCGGAATAACAACAGTTATGAAACGCGATAGCCGCAGATAGATTAACCGATTTTATTATGATCATCCGCGTTGACGTTTTCGCAGCTAATCGTTTTATCGACAACAAAATCTATTTATTGGACGAAACTTAAGTTTCGTTTTCAGCAGATGTTTTTTTAAGGAACTGCTTGTAAAATATGATAGAAGCTACTCTAGTGAAACTATCACTAATATCACCTTTGTTTATGTTTGTTGTGCAACCCGTATCAGTGTTTATCGTCTACTGTTTTTCATTATAATTGTAATTTCTGCGTTGGTCAAAATTTAATTTTTAGCGAGTATCGACCTTTCGCTTACCAGAAAAAGTTGTGCAAGAATTTGATCAGTTACCTTTCTCAGTTAATGCAGGACAGCGAAAGTGATGTATCTACTTCAGTTGGGAAAAGTGAGGGAATCGATTTTTCAGGAATCGAGACTGCAGCTCCGCCACGTCAAGAGGATACGCATATTGAGAGTGGTAAGCTAGTTTGTTTAGAGCGTGCTTGTTATGATAACTGACTAATCTCTGATAGAAATCAGTGCTAATATGGCGGCGACCGTGACTGCTGTGGAAGATCTTGAAACAGTTAACGCGGAAGTGGCCCGCTGTAAGCGAGTTTACAGAAAAGAAAAATGGAAACCAACACAGGTACCGGCCAAATGTTGTCAAGATGTAAACGATTCGAGCGTAGATAAGCTTCGTGTGAAGTGTAAAATTTACGTGTACTGCAAAACATACGTCTATAAACCCTTCTCTAGGAGAGCGTTTTTTACGGCATACAGAAAAATGAAGTAAAAAATCAGTTAGCGTCCATTTATGATAGAGACGTTTTCAGTAGTATGCGAGGCAAAGAGGTTGCCTCAGAAACTTGCCACAGGTGATCAAGCATTTTGCGTCTTTTGGTAAAGCAAATCAATACACTTTACATTCCATCATATGACGTTGTTCTTAATCCACACAGTTACCCTAAGATTTACTCGGCTTTACGGAATATTCTGTGGCAGTCTATCACAGTAACAGAATCAGCGATCTCAGAGGTCAATCGGTTGCTTTATCTGAAGTGCTAACTGAGAAATAAGAGTCGCTGGTGAAACTTCTATCACAAACGATATCTGTGACGAAAGATCCCAAGATTCAGCAGTGGGTTACATAATAGAGGCATGCAGATAACTTTGATATTGATAAGATATGATGTAGAAACATTAAAAGGCGTTTAATGGCTAAATCTCCACAGATGTAAAATGGCATGACCGACATAACATAGAAAATGTGACTACGGAGATTGTTCATTTAAAATGCGTTGACTCTGCCCTGAATCGTCGTCGATGCACTGGGATTAAATGAAAATCTGGCAGACATTCAGTTATGAGGTTTGCGATTGTGAGGCATGAATACGCACCAGTAGAAGGCCAGAAATCGAATACAAAAAAATTTCATTTTTATTCGTAAACCGTATGCAGCTTTACACATGGATTTGACAGTGCGGCTTAGAGCAAAGAATTACGCAAAGTCTTTTACCATCTATCTAGCAGGAATAGCATGTACAGTGAGTCATTCAAGAGTGTCCACCGCGATAGTTTATTTGTTCTGCTTTTAACTGAGTGTAGACAGCGAAGCTGGCAGTTTAGCGAATAATTTGTACAGGGTATTTATTTCAGTAAATAATATAGCTTTCAAACAGTGGGTGGGTGCTTAGTGTGGAAGTTAACGATTGTTGCTCTAATATCTTGATAAACATCGAGCACTTATTTTGGCAAATTTTTTATTGCAGTTTTTAGCTCGTCCCATATGCTCTTGAAGTTTTGGATATGTTTGGACAGTTGGACGTAACACCCCCTGCTTCGTTTGGTCTGGTGCCAGCTGTGATAGATGAAGTGAAGAAGAAACTGGTAAATATATCTTTGGAAACTTATACAGATTCAGTGCTAATCGCTTGAAAGAAACTAATTAGCTATTTGTACCAAAACTGCTTATAGTCTAACGACCTTATTTCAGAAGTAGCACACTATCATCGGAAAAACACTGGCCGTGAACAGAGAACTAGAACTAATGTGAAACGGTCCAGTAAAAGGGAGTAAAATAAAGTATACCTAATAAATGATACCTAGACTACGTTATGAGAAACATCACAAGATAGAAAGTTGAAACCAATTACACCAGTGTCTTCATAAAACCAGACAAATGTGTCAAATTCCAGTGAGTCAGATTTTATTACCGCCTCTATTTCGGGTCACGTAGATGGCAGCGTCAGACTGTGTTTCCAGCGTTCTCTATCCTGTGCCACCGTCTAGAGATGCCCCGAATTTGTAGAAAAGTCCTTGAATATATCTGTTTCATGGTATTCCTTCCATCCTCGAGGTCTTCGATCAAGCAGATGAGCTAGTAGAATGTAGCTAGCTTTCTGGAAGCGTTCTTAGACGTGCCCTAAACATCGCATCTGTGTCTTCTAATTCTACTGGAGCAGCGGTTGTATACCAGCGTTTACTCAGATTCCTGATTTCCGGACCATGGTAAGCGCGTGAACCCAACGATTTGTCTCAGAAAGCCTACCGCAGCCGCTTGTGCCTGGTATCGCAGTTTTTCATTCATCGCTTCACGACTCATGACCACAGGTGAGCATGGGGATTAAAATTGCGAAGAACAGATCGCTTCGTCTTCAGACTCAGCTCTGCCTTAGCCACAAGGGTTGGGTTGGTTCCTGCTAAACTCTGCTGACTATCTATTTCCCCGGTCGCTCTCCCTTTCATTGCCATCTTCAGGCGACACTACCCCCGAATTGCGTGAACTTCTCTACCTGTTCACTGTTCATCTGCTTCTTTTCTTTCGCGTGCTGACCAAGGCACAGTAGGTTGCCTTTCCAGGGTGCGCTGGAGATTTGTTTCGGAAGATTGCAGCAAAATATGTTCATCTGTAAACAGCAACTTCCTCGTCTTTGCATATCCTATGCTGAAACATTCATAGCCTTGACTGAGCTTGACTATCATATCTATGCACAGCTCAAGCAGGAAAAGGGACAGAATGCAGCCCTAGCGGAGACTAGTGCGACTGTTGAACGGTCTCGCCTTAACGCCATTTACACTGTCAGTGTCTCTTACCAAAATGTGGTGATTGGATGGCGCGTAACTATTGGCCATCAATCCCTTATACCTTCTGACGCATCCATAAGTTGTTGCGCGGAATCTGGTCTTAGCTTTTCTCAGGATGTACAACGCGCGATTGTAAGCAGGATGAGATCACTTTCATAATTTCTCAAGAATCTAGCATACTGCGAAGATTCGGTCAGAATTGCTCTTTCCCCTTTAGCCTTCCAAATCTTTGATTTAATTTCTTAATTTGACCTTTCCCAGGAGGCTCAATACGTTAAGTTTTTGATAATTGGAGGAGTCTCTATGATGTACTTTGTGAGCAAGGTGTTTCAACGCCCTTTCTCCAGTATACTGGTGTTCACGCTGTTGCCAGGTTTCACAGACATGTGATAATCACCGCATGCCTTAACTCGCCTAAATCCGTAAGTATC